TTTCCCCACAAATAGAGATTTCTTTCGGTGGTATTTGATCGCCTGTGCAGTTTTTATTTTTTTCGCTATAAAAAAAAAAGGCTGACAATTTTTGAGGAAAAAAAAAAACAATATTTTGGACTTTTTTTTGCTATAAAACATGTCCAGTAAAAAAAAAATGCAAAAATCAAATTTAGTCATAAATTTCTGCCAAAAAAAACAAAAAAAAAAACCCCCAATGCATTCTGCGACAGATCAGCGTCTTTGCTAAAAAAAAAAACCCAATACGTGTAAATTAATTGGTTTACGTGAAAGTTATAGCGTTTACAAATGGCGGGAAAGATACTGGGATTTTTAGGGTTTTTTTTATACTAATATTGGCGGCGATCAGCGAATTATGGCGGCGATCAGGGACCTTATGGCAGCGACTTATGGAAGGACTGCGGGACTGCGGCGGACATTCTGACATTTGGGGGGGGTACTGACTTGGGTCACTGACATCCCCAAAAACACTAATACAGTGATCAGTGCAAAAAAAAAAAACACTGACACTGTACTAATGGCACTGGGGAGGAAGGGGTTAACTTTATTTTGCAGGGAAGGGTTTTATAGGAGTGAGGGGAGTGTTTTTACTAGGGGGCGGGGGTGTTGTACTGGGTCGGGACAAGGCTGATCGAGAAAGAGAAACTCTTCTTTCTCGATCAGCTCATCCTCGAGCTGACAGGGAAGTGACAGACAGCACAGCTACTGCAGCTTTGTGCTCTCTGTCACTGTTTGCCGCCGATCGCCAGGACATAGCCGCTAAGGAGCGGGGCTGTGACCCCTGCGACTCACATCTGCGGCGGTGATCGGCGGGACAGATTAGGGCGGGCGGCGCGCCTCACGCGGCGCCCCCACACCCACCCTATTGTTTACCAAAATACACGTCTTAAAACGTGGTTTTGCCTGCGAGTGCCGCCTGCCGCCGTATATGTACAGTGGCTGGGGCGGCATGCGGGTTAACATAATTTCTATAAAAAAATAATAAGAATAAATAATAAAAAAAAAAAGAAAATTAAAATAAAAAAAAAAAAAAAAAAATAAAAAAAAAAATTTAAAAAAGCGTATATCAGGGCTTAAAATTTCAAATCCTGAGCTACTAGCCCAGGCCTTAGAGTTACTCGCCACCAGGGGCGGACTGACAAACTCATGGGGCCCCCCGGCAATAGGGGATCATGGGGCCCCTGTGTCCTTGCCCAAACTCAAAAAAGCCTATGAAAAAGGTACCAGGGGACATCTCATGGAGCCCCCTACTGACCCCGGGCCCTCGGGCAGTGCCCGAGTTTTCCAAATGGTCCAGTCCGCCCCTGCTCGCCACCAACAAACATACACAAACAGAGACACGCTGTACACACACACACAAACATGTACACACAGGCACGGAGACACATGTATACACACACAGGCACATACAGACATGCATACGCACAGATACATGTACATACACAGAAATACACATGCACAGACCACATGTACATACATACACAGACCACATGGACACACAGACACAAGCACGTATATACACACAAACACACATGTAACATGCACACACCACACAGACACCTGTACACGCACACAAACATGTACATACACACAGAAACATGTACACACACGCACAGAGACACAGAATGTATACACACACAGGCACGTAACTGACACGCATACACACAGATACATGTACATACACAGAAATACACATGCACAGACACATGTGCAATACATACACAGACACACATGTACACACAGACACGTGCACGTACATACACACAAACACCCCGCACACACATGTACATGCACACACACACAGACAAGTACACACACACATACATGTACATACACGCAGACACATGTACAGATACACACAGACTCATGTACAATTGTACATGCATACACGTACACCATACATATACACGCACACACACACCACCTCCCATAAAAAGTTGCAGTACTTTGTTGTTCACTCACAGAGCCGTGGGGGAGTACTGCACTCTAGGGAGAGGCAGAGAGCAACAGCACACACAACCCTGCTTTGCTTTCACTGCGCTCAGCTATTGATTAGTCTGTGCCAATGACAGATCTGGCCTGAGCTCCTCCGAGCCTGCTCAGCAAGACGGCCCTGGGGGACACACTCACCCCCACCATAATTTCCACTCACCATTGGCGAGCAGGCGAGTGGAAATTTCAAGCCCCTGGCGTAATATTACCCATGGTTTGGAACAAAGACAGTGAAACCTCAACGTTTTAGGAACATAGAGACACGCGAGGCTACCTGGTAAAGTTTTTCTCTGGATACTTTAAAAAAAAAAGTCCCTGGATTCTTTCTTAGATACGCAGAATTATAACTGGATATAACATTTTTATAGGTAAAGAGTTGATCCAGGGAATATCCGATTGCCTCTCGGGGGGGATGGGGATCAGGGAGAATTTTTTTTCCCTGCAGGAGCAAATAGGATCGTGCTTTTCTGGGTTTTTTGCCTTCCTCTGGATCAACTGTGGGTGTAGGATTATAACTTTTTTTTTTTTTATGGTTGAACTGGATGACTTTTGTCTTTTTTCAGACTATGTAACTTTGGGTTGAACTTACCCTTTATGTGAAAGAAAAAACTGCTGTATGGACTAGCCAGCAAATCAAAACTAGCTATTTTCTATATGTGTTAATATATCTAAAGTATAATGTATATTTATAGAATCAAAATCAAAAATGCTTTAAGCCCAAAATCCTAAAAACAGAAAATTAATAAAGCACAAACTCTGCCATTGTCCGGTATGAACCAACGTTTGTATCTCTTTGTGTTATAAACAGGTTGAATAACAATGGACTGCTATCATTCAACACTCTAATATCGATCTATACACCCCAACAACTCCCTGTAAATATAAGTAATCCATTCCTCGCCGTTTTCTGGGCTGATGTATATAATGCGAATTCAGGGCACATTTATTACCTGCAGAGCACAGATCCAAGTCTTTTAACTTTGGCTACGTCAGATATCAGAAACTACACCATGGATTTCACCTTCACAGCCAACTGGGTTTTTGTGGCCACCTGGGATAGAGTTCCGTATTATGGATCCTCATCAACCAAGGTATAGTGACTAGGTTTCATGTTTTCTGTGTTCTGTTGTAAAGGTCAGAACCTACAGGTCCACTTAGGATTGATTCTCCTAAGAACATAAAATAGTAATCATTTAAAATTCTAATTCAGCAGGATTATAAACTCAGTATAGGGTGAAGGGGTAGTACAGGGGTGGGCAAACTTTTTGACTTGAGGGCCGCAATGGGTTCATATATTGGACCTGGGGGCCGGACCAAGAGTAGATGAATGATGTGTATGTGTCATCCATAGTAAGTATAGTAATATTCCCCCATAGTAAGCGTAGTAATTAATCCCCCATATAGTAATCATCCCCCATAGTAATTCATCCCCCATATAGTAATTCATCCCCCATAGTAATTCATTCCCCATAGTAATTCCTTCGGCCATATAGTAATTCATCCCCCATATAGTAATTCATCCCCCATAGTAATTCATCCCCCATATAGTAATTCATCCCCCCTATAGTAATTCATCCCCCCTATAGTAATTCATCCCCCATAGTAATTCATCCCCCATATAGTAATTCATCCCCCCATAGTAATTCATCCCCCATATAGTAATTCATCCCCCATATAGTAATTCATCCCCCATAGTAATTCATCCCCCATATAGTAATTCATCCCCCCATAGTAATTCATCCCCCCATATAGTAATTCATCCCCCATATAGTAATTCGACCCCCATAGTAATACATCCCCCATAGTAATTCATCCCCCATAGTAATTCATCCCCCATATAGTAATACATCCCCCATATAGTAATTCATCCCCCATATAGTAATTCATCCCCCCATAGTAATTCATCCCCCATAGTAATTCATCCCCCATATAGTAATTCATCCCCCATATAGTAATTCATCCCCCCTATAGTAATTCATTCCCTATATTAAGTCCCCAAGTCCCCCCTGTGTCAATTCACTTACCTTTGCTCCACGCGTTCCTCTCGCGGTGTTCCCGGGCCGTTCCGGTGTAGCATGAAAATCTGTCTCCTATGCGGATCTGTCCCCCTCGACGTATCTGCGCATGTGCCAGTTTCAGGCATTAGCAGCTGATCGGCGATCTCCGGCACATGCGCAGATACGTCGAGGGGGACAGATCCTCATAGGAGACAGATTTTTTCATGCTACACCGGTCCCCTTCAGGGCGGACTGTGAAAGGAGCCTAGCGGGAGCCTAGCTCCGCGGGCCGGATTAAAAAAAGTCCGCCGGGCTGTATACGGCCCGCGGGCCGTAGTTTGCCCATTGCTGGGGTAGTATGTCAACTGTGTGTGTGTGTGAGAAACTCTTTCTGCCACATTTCCCACAAATGTTTTTAGATCTCACATCACCATCGTTGTTCGCTAAGCAGAGTCAATGATTTAAAAATATTTGATCCACATGAGGTCTCATCTAAAGGGAATCAAGCATTTTGGGAAATAAATTGCATGGTTCTCCATAAAAGGAGAATTTTACATCTTTATTAATGGGGGAATCGAAAACATTGTGACAAATTGACTGACTTGGTTTGCTTGTGTTCTGGTTGAGATAGCTGCACAGGAACTGAAGCTTCTTATTAAAACGTATGTCTGCTTCTAAGGTAGGGGACACCTTGCAGGAACCTTATGCTTGGTGACCTCTACAAACACAGAAATTATACTTTTAATCCCAACCTCTGTATCATTTATATATAGGTTACAAAGTAGGGCTTCCAACACTGAACCTTGGGGTACACCACTAGTAGCCTTGGACCATTCTGAGTATGGACCATTAATCACTATTCATAGTACAGGAGATGACCAGAGACTACGGACATAGTACAGGAGATGACCAGAGACTACGGACACAGTACAGGAGATGACCAGAGACTGCGGACACAGTACAGGAGATGATCAGAGACTGCGGACATAGTACAGGAGATGACCAGAGAGACTACGGACATAGTACAGGAGATGACCAGAGACTGCGGACACAGTACAGGAGATGACCAGAGACTGCGGACACAGTACAGGAGATGATCAGAGACTGCGGACACAGTACAGGAGATGACCAGAGACTGCGGACATAGTACAGGAGATGACCAGAGACTGCAGACATAGTACAGGAGATGACCAGAGACTGCGGACATAGTACAGGAGATGATCAGAGACTGCGGACATAGTACGGGAGATGAGCAGAGACTGCGGACACAGTACAGGGGATGACCAGAGACTGCGGACACAGTACAGGAGATGACCAGAGACTGTGGACATAGTACGGGAGATGAGCAGAGACTGCGGGACACAGTACAGGAGATGACAAGAGACTGCGGACACAGTACAGGAGATGACCAGAGACTGCGGACACAGTACAGGAGATGACCAGAGACTGCGGGCATAGTACAGGGGATGAGCAAAGACTGCGGACATAGTACGGGAGATGAGCAGAGACTGCGGACATAGTACGGGAGATGAGCAAAGACTGTGGATATAGTACAGGAGATGACCAGAGACTACACACATAGTACAGGAGATGACCAGAGACTACAGACATAGTACAGGGGATGACCAGAGACTGCGGACACAGTACAGGAGATGACCAGAGACTACAGACATAGTACAGGAGATGACCAGAGACTACAGACATAGTACAGGAGATGACCAGAGACTACAGACATAGTACAGGAGATGACCAGAGACTACAGACATAGTACAGGAGATGACCAGAGACTGCGGACAAAGTACAGGAGATGACCAGAGACTGCGGACACAGTACAGGAGATGACCAGAGACTGCGGACACAGTACAGGAGATGACCAGAGACTGCGGACATAGTACAGGAGATGACCAGAGACTGCGGACACGATACAGGAGATGACCAGAGACTGCGGACACAGTACAGGAGATGACCAGAGACTGCGGACACAGTACAGGAGATGACCAGAGACTGCGGACACGATACAGGAGATGACCAGAGACTGCGGACATAGTACAGGAGATGACTGCAGACACACTCCTGGAGAAGACCAGAGACTGCAGACATATTACAGGGGATGAACAGGGTTCTTTCAGCAATGTACAGATGTACAGTTTGTGAAAACAGCTCAGGGTTTGGTATAACAGTCCACAGGCAGTCTATGGGGGGAAGGACCTACCTGGCCAGCTGTGCTCAGCTTCCTTTCTGAGGTCTGGGGGAGGGACTCACACTCACATCACAACTTCTACTTTGCTTGGCAGACTTCTGGCATTGGTGAATGAACACTTGAATCCATAGTTGCAGTTATATTTACTATATCTATATTATTGCCATTTGCCAATGTTTGTGTCAGGAATGGGCTCACCACTGGTGGTGCTGTGGCTCACTTGCTCTGTGGGCTGCAGTACCAGCTCCTACCAGAGGGTGCTTTCAGCAGCCAGGGTCTCACTCTTGCAATCAAACCATCACCTGAGGCTGATTGCAGGAGGTCTATTTAAGCAGGACCAGGCCTGCAATCAGTGCCTTGGTGTTTGTTTCCCATGAGCCCCTGTACCTAGTATCCTGTGAAGCTTCTGTTGCTGACCTCTGCATTGTTCCTGACCCTGCTGACCGTCTCCTGTTTAACCCCTGGCTTGCCTGACCATCCTTTTGCCTGATCCTCTCCGTACCGCCCTGCCCGTGAGTTACTGAACCCGGCTTGTGACCCTGACCATTCTCTACCTGCTCCTTTGGTACCTCGCTGCCCGCACATTTCTGACCTGGCTGACTGCGCCTTACGCTACCCAGACGATCCATCCATCTATCCCGCACGGATCTGTCCCTGTTACAAGGTCTGCCAGCCTCTTCACGTCAGGCTCCTTTCCCCACACACCTTTGACGACGCTCTCTACCATTGCCGGACGTACTCAGGGGTCGCGACCTGGTCTCAGTCTGCTCCAAGTCCATCCCCACCATCAGGGGCCCTGGGGAATAAGCAGATTGGGACTTAGACCCCGCCCCTGAGGAACCCCGTGCTGTGGGCTGCTAGAGACGCCGCCAGGCCAAACGGCCTGCCTGACCATTCCACCTCTCCAGCCCTGACTACACCTGTGTTCCCACACATTTCTGGTCATACCCGGATCCCTAACAGTTTGTTTGTAACATAGCAATCTTTTATCAACTGCCATAGCCCTCCCACCATCTTCTCCGATTCCACCCTTCATTAATGTCTGACTTATCTGCCCAATTATATTCTTTCTCCCCTTCAATTCTAGCTCAAATACTTCTCTCACCTTCCCATGAACCTCTCCTCTAGCACAGCAGTCCTCCTTCCATTTAGGTGCAAACCATCGCTTGCACCCCAATGAAAAACCAGCTTAAAACTCTAGAAACCCAACTCCTTCCCTCTACACTGGCTACTTTTCCTTGGTTTTGGCTCTGTAATCTGAGCTATGCGTAATGAGCACTAATACGCATGATAATTCATATCATTACTTGTGCCTTATGAGTTGACACTTCATTGCATTAATACATATATAAAAAACAAGAAAAGTAGAAGCTTTAGGAAAAACACAAGAAATTACTAATTAAGCCTCTGATAAATGTAAGCTACTGACTTGCATTGATGTTTTATCATTCCACCTACAGGTCAACACATTCCAGATTGTATTGATCACCGATGAGACGTCCACGTATGTTTTATATAACTATGCCGATATCCAGTGGACAACCGGAACAGCCAGTGGTGGTAATGCCTTTACGGGACTTGGAGGAACTCCGGCTCTGGTAAGTAAACCTAAAATGCTGAATTTTAAACAATAGTGCAGCGCTAAAAAACTAAATCACTATAAATAATGCTACATGGGCTAAAAAAGCCAAACACACCTACATGTGAAATACTTATAATGAAAGCATAAAAAATGAAAATATATAGAATGTGAAAAATATAAGTATTTCACATGTAGGTGTGTTTGGCTTTTTTAGCCCATGTAGCATTATTTATAGTGATTTAGTTTTTTAGCGCTGCCCTATTGTTTAAAATTCATATTGCACTGGTTGGGTATCAGTTTGAGTGTAAGCAGCTGATAGGTAGGGATTGGGGGTCCATTACAGCGCAGGAGGAATTTTTTATCAAACCTAAAATGCTGAGCATTGGATCCAACTATTTAAAGGATAAGTTCACCAAAGAAAAAGCTGGTGTTCATTTATCTAGAGCAGGGGTGGGCAAACTTTTTGACTTGAGGGCCGCAATGGGTTCATATATTGGACCCGGGGGCCGGACCAAGAGTAGATGAATGATGTGTATGTGTCATCCATAGTAAGTATAGTAATATTCCCCCCATAGTAAGCATAGTAATTAATCCCCCATATAGTAATTCATCCCCCATAGTAATTCATCCCCCATATAGTAATTCATCCCCCATAGTAATTCATCCCCCATAGTAATTCATCCCCCATAGTAATTCATCCCCCATATAGTAATTCATCCCCCATAGTAATTCATCCCTCATATAGTAATTCATCCCCCATAGTAATTAATCCCCCATATAGTAATTCATCCCCCATAGTAATTCATCCCCCATATAGTAATTCATCCCCCCATAGTAATTCATCCCCCATATAGTAATTCATCCCCCATAGTAATTCATCCCCATATAGTAATTCATCCCCTATAGTAATTAATCCCCCATAGTAATTCATCCCCCATAGTAATTCATCCCCCATATAGTAATTCATCCCCCATAGTAATTCATCCCCCATAGTAATTCATCCCCCATATAGTAATTCATCCCCCATAGTAATTCATCCCCCATAGTAATTCATCCCCCATATAGTAATTCATCCCCCATATAGTAATTCATCCCCCATATAGTAATTCATCCCCTATAGTAATTCATCCCCCATATAGTAATTGATCCCCCATATAATAATTCATCCCCCATATAGTAATTCATCCCCCATAGTAATTCATCCCCCATATAGTAATTCATCCCCCATAGTAATTCATCCCCCATAGTAATTCATCCCCCCCTATAGTAATTCATCCCCCATAGTAATTCATCCCCCATATAGTAATTAATTCCCCATATTAATTCATCCCCCATATTAAGTCCCCCCTGTGTCAATTCACTTACCTTTGCTCCGTGCGTTCCTCTCGCCGTATTCCCGCGCCGTTCCGGTGTAGCATGAAAATCTCTCTCCTATGAGGATCTGTCCCCCTCGACGTATCTGCGCATGTGCCAGTTTCAGTGCCAGTGCAGCCGATCGGCGATCTCCGGCACATGCGCAGATACGTCGAGGGGGACAGATCCTCATAGGAGACAGATTTTCATGCTACACCGGTCTTCAGGGCGGACTGTGAGAGGAGCCTAGCTCCCCCTCGCGTTCGTCACGCTGCCCCGCCTACACACATCCTGACAGCCATCCTGACAGTATCACGCTCCACGGGCCGGACTAAAAGGTCCGCCGGGCCGTATACGGCCCGTGGGCCGTAGTTTTGCCCATTGCTGATCTAGAGGAACTTATTATTAATATAATTTTTTTTAAATTTAAATATTTATTGCTTTTTCAATTAAATACATATTCCATCATATTCACATAACATATACAAAACCATTACTTATTTCCCTTTCTATAACTATTTCCCTCACCCACCCAACACAACCACCTCCCCTCCCTCCCCCCCTCTCCCTCCCCCCCCCCCATTCCACCCACTCCGCATCCCCCATGTCTTCCCTATAAAAGCAAGAGGAGCGTTCATTTCATCACACACTATATCTTCCTAAATTTCACCTTCAATCCAAATTCTTCCCATTTTTTTCCATTTCACATAATATGACCCCATCCTGTCTTCCTGCATATGGTACAATTTCTCCATCCTACAAATCTGGTTCACTCTATCTACCCAGTCTTCCTCCCTCGGCACCTCTGTCTTACGCCAAAACTTGGGTATCAGACCTTTTGCTGCATTTAGATATTACCACTGATAATTCTGTGCTATGTAGAAGACAGGTCTCCGAATCCAATCCAATATCAATCTCAGTAATCATCCCAAACAGGGACGGACTGACAACTCATGGGGCCCCCGGGCAATAGGGGATCATGGGGCCCCTGTGTCCTTGCCCAAAACTCAAAAAAGCCTATGAAAAAGGGACCAGGGGCATCTCATGGGGCTCCCTACTGACCCTGGGCCCTCGGGCAATTTCCCGAGTTTCCAAATGGTCAGTCCGCCCCTGATCCCAAATAAATGAACTATCATCTTCCAAAATACTTGTATTTTTGGGCACTCCCACCATATGTGATACACCGTGCCTATCTCCCCACACCCCCCACCAACACCACTGTGAATTCTCCCTACTCATCTTATGTTCAACATTCGGTGTAATATGCCATCTTATCAAACACTTATAATTTATTTCCACCTCTCGCATACTTATATTCTCGTGCGGTAATCTATATATATTTTTTTTGTGTTTATCTTCTTCTAACACAACCTTCATATCCCTTTCCCATTTTGCTATATACATTGGCTTTGTGTTTGTGTATAATTCAGTGAGAATTTTATATATTTTTGCAGTACCGTGTTTCCCATCTCCCTGTGATTCCAACAACCTCTCAAACAAATTCCAATCTTTTCT